TAAGGATCTGGCACTCAAAGGTTTTGTCCCTTTTTGTTTGTTACTGAAAGTTATTTTGCCCTTTGTTTATCACAAGTCACATTCCTACGTAAGACAGCCCAGAACCACATATCGTTGCCAAGGGACTGGTTTTCTCAGATGTGTTTTCAGTCTGTTGGTTAAGGTTGGTGTGGAAAAAAAACCACCACCAAAGGCTTCGTTCAAGGGCACTCCAGGAAACTTACCAGTTAGGTTTATTAGTGGGCAAAGTGTATTTGCTTGGTGTTGAAGTTGCAATTGTTACATTTAGTTTCAGTTCAGGAGAAGTGGAAGTGAAACTTACAGGGCTGAAGTGGCTGATCGGCTCTTCCTTGTGTTGGATACTCCTGTCTTAACAATCCCTGCTCTGCTCGAAGCCTCTTGTGTGAGCCTCAAACAGTCCTTTGTCTCTCTGTCTGTATGCTGTGTCTTGATGAGGTAGCTGCCTTGGCTCAGTTCTTCCAAAACTTTTATGGAAAAAGGATCATTTTGTCTTGGCTGAGGAGATGATAGTTGGACTTCATTCCAGAGCTGCTGGAGTGGCCAGCCAGAACGGTGAACGGCCAGTTTGGAGCCATATTAAGAATGAAAGATGCTACACTTACCTTTTATCAGTTGTTTTAAATTTATGAAAGCCAAGTTGGAAGAGAAACAACATTTTAAAATATTCAGAAATGTCTAAGATTTCTTCTCAGAATGCCTCTGCAGAATGCCAGGATGTTTCAGTTGTCATCTAATTATGACTGACAAGGTTAGCAGGTTCAGGGAAGCCCATGAAACCTGAATTTTCCCTGGAGCAGAGTAACTCCCTGGTTGTGTGTCAGCTAGCTCACTGCCTTCCTTCTGGCTTTCCTGTGTTTACTTTGCTGTCAACGCCTTGAAGGAAGAGAAGCTTTCATTTTCAAGTTAATCAGAGTGAAAAATTGCCATCAGATTTGATGCTGTGTGGGTTTCACATCTTGATTGAACCACAGAAGGTGTTTTATGTGCCTATAGAATTGCTTTGAAAAAACTTTTTAAGGCAGGGGGACTGTTACATTGTCACCATGGATTCTGACAAGCTTTTGAGGTTATTTTGCTGCCTTTCCAATACTGGTGCTCAGGGCTGGTTTTGGGAATGGAGCTGCTCTCCAGCGTGGTGGTTTGATGTGTAGGGGTCATTCCATTCATGTGAGATAACAGCAGCTCTGTAACACTCCTGCCTTGCTGCTCTCAAGAGGACACTTCTAGTGCAGCTGAGCAGTAGCAACTGTAAATCTGTTCTGGGAGGGGCAGACCTGCAGTCAGAGAGAAGGGCTATTTCTTAGCCTCGTTTCCTAAAGCAGCAGGGGTAGAACTGGCCAGACCTGTGTATGTCCAGTGGCCCTTCTCCCTCAATAGGTTTTGAACCCGTTGGTGTTCATTGTTAGACAGCAGGCTGCCTCTTGCACACAGGCAGCAGACTGAGCAGAGATGGGTTGGAGCTGTATGGGAGGATGAGGGTGCTGAAGTGTGTGGGGAGAGGGGATGAAGCACTCAGGAGGTACCAGGGAATACTTCTGTGGAGCATGTGGGGAGTTCAAGGCATTGTGAGACAGCTGAGGGGGCAGAACCAAAGGTGCACAATAGAAACCACAGAAAAGCAAGATTCTGTAGGTTTACTACTCTTGTTTTTAGCAGTGATAGAAATTAAACTGGAATAGACTTTTATTTAAAGATAGTTGTGACTGATTAATTTTGCTCGAGAAGAAACAATCCTCTGGCATACAGCCTTCCAAAAGACAGTGTTATGACATTCATTCCCTCTTAGGAGAGCACCCTGTGCTTCAGGAGAAGAGCCTTTGTGTTGTTAGCTTGGTCCAGTTTAGAGCTACTCCCAAGAATGCTGCAAGTGAGAACGATTTTCTGCCCTGTGTACTGCAATAGGAGGCTCGGTGCTGTTACAGAGTTGCACTGATCCCTCAGGGCTCTCTCAAACACAGCAAATCTGCTGGTGTCTCATCTGACTGCAGCAGGGAGGAGAACACATCTGTGCTGGCTTTAGGCTGGCTGTCATGGGTTGAAAAGTCTAGAAAAGGAAGCTTGGAGCTCAGCACAACCTGTGAAACTTGTGTTGGCCCAGTGAGGCTGCTGGGAGCTGGAGGCTGCTGTGGCCCAGCAGCTGCTGCACCCTTGGGAGCCCTGTCAGAGCTGCTGGGGGGGGTGCAGGCTGCCCTGCACTGCTGCCTGTGGCCTGCGGTCCTGGCCCTGGGCTGGGGCTGGATTTGAGTCAGCAATCAGTCTCAACACAAAGACATCCTCCTGTTGGGTCTCCTGGGCTAACTGGTTTCTTTGATGTATTGCACTTTCAAGTCTGCTGTTGCTCTTGCAACTAGACATGACGTCAAACTTCATCATTCCAGGTGCTCATGTGTGTGCCAGGTCTGTGCAAAGGGCTTTGGGCTGCTCTGCTTATCAGGGCTGAGCTGGTCCCACCATTCCCAGGCAGCATTTGCCACCTCACCTTGCTAAAATCAGCATGCACGAGTTCTGTCATCTTTGTTTTATTTGTGTGCACGTTTGTGCAGCCTCCCTTTTTAGATTGGTTTACAGATGTGGTTGGGAAGCACTTATATTGTTTCAGATACACTGACTGGCTTCCCATTAGCAGCCTCGTGTGGGAATAATGGTCATAATAACCCTAATAATACTTTGCAAATTGCATCTTGCTTTCCTTGCAACAGATCTTTAAAGATCTTGTCTTTGAGATAGTTTCATTTCTACACAGATCATTCTTGTAATACTTTTTCTCTGCCTTCTCATGACTCATGGATACAAAACACACATTCAAAGAGGACTTGTGTCTTAAGTTGCCATAGTTAATGAGCACAACTATTTCAAACTCTTTACTGCATATAAACATATGAAGTTCTATGATGATTAATACCAGTAAATATTTAGGAGCCTGAAAATTTGATAGTAAAATAAGCCATGAGCTAAAGCTGAATCCCACTCAGCTGGGCAAAGCAAGCACTGAATCTCTAGTTATGACCCTTTTTTTCACTTGTTATTCCTTATTTATACTGAACTATCTCATGGATAGCCCTTGAGGAGGACTGAGACTTTGCATGAGTCTGACTTTGTGTGTGAATTTTAAATACCTTTTGTGACCTCTGATTTTTTTTTTTATTATTATTTTAATCACTGAACTTTGTTACCAGTTCTGCTGGTGTGTCACTGTCTCATTTATACTGGGATGAGTCAAACACAAACGTGTTCAGTGTCCAGCTGCCACCTCCCTGGGATCCTGACTTTGTGTAGAATGTTGTAATAGTTGATTTCCATATAGGAAATGAGCTGCTCATGAAGTCTTAACTGATGGTACTTGGAAAAGGGCCACGAGAATGATCCGAGGGCTGGAGCAGCTCTGCTGTGAGGACAGACTGAGAGAGTTGGGGCTGTTCAGTCTGGAGAAGAGAAGGCTCCAAGGGGACCTTATTGTGGCCTTCCAGTACCTTAGGGGGGCCTACAAGAAAGCTGGGGAGGGACTTTTTAGGCTATCAGGTAATGACAGGACTAGGGGGAATGGGGCAAAGCTGGCAGTGGGCAGATTCAGGCTGGATGTGAGGAAGAAGTTCTTCCCCATGAGAGTGGTGAGACCCTGGAATGGGTTGCCCAGGGAGGGGGTTGAGGCCCCATCCCTGGGGGTCTTTAAGGCCAGGCTGGAGGAGGCTCTGGGCAGCCTGATCTAGTGGGAGGTGTCCCTGCTCATGGCAGAGGGGTTGGAACTGGGGGATCCTTGGGGTCCCTTCCAGCCCTGACAGATTCTGATCTGTTTTAGCAGAGGACTTTAGAGCCCTAATGGCTCAATGGTTGGACTTGATGATCTTGGAGGTCCCTTCCAACCTAAAGGATTCTATGATTCTATGATAAGCTTTTCAGTTCTGCAGTTCCTCACATCCTCTCCTAGGCATCCCCCCATCTCCTTTCCTCCATCCCTTTCCAGCAGTGTTGGTCTGTGGGCACCTCCAGTGCTCTGGGAACCACCCGTGCAGAAGATGTTGGTGTTAGTCCAGCAGCAGCACTGGTGGCAGTGGTCTGTGACAGGGCTTCTCATACTTGCCTCTACCACTTTATTGCACTATGACCTTGACTACATCTTGAATTACCTTCTTGGTTGACTACCTAGGCAGGATATCAGTTTAATATTTATACAGTCCTTTGAGCAGGAGCAGAGTTACAAATGTTGAGTCACTGAGGAGGGCAGGAGTGCTGGGCTTGCCTGATGCCAGAGCTGGCCCCAGTGCCATCACCTCTCTCCCTGCTGTTACAAAGAGGAGACATAATTGAACCTGCTTTGCCCCTATACCAAATAAATTACAGAATTCAAAAATGGTGAGAGAGGAGCAGGATCCAGTATCCTTTCTGTTCATCCTACTCTTCAGAAATATTTTTCATGTCTGAGGAAAGTGATGCTGGAGAAGTATGGGAATGTACAACAACAGTTTAAGTTTTGAGTTGCTAGAGCAAGTAGGAGTAACTGAGCAAGTGTTGGCAGCTTGCACGCAGGCACCAGTCCTGCAGAGACCTCAGGACGTGCTTAACTTCAGTAGATGTGTTCACGGCCTATCCACAGTGTACAAAATTAATCATATTTAAATATCTGCAGGATGAGTGGTTTAGCAGCATGGAAAAGAGTGACTGGTTAGGTTTGCTGTGTGCAAAGAATTTCCTCTGATTTCAAGTAAATAATATCTCTTCGTGAAAAGCACCTGTGCCTTTGTCCTTACTATGCTTCATCAAGATGTCTCCAAAAAACCTCAGAACAGCATGAACATAAGCCTATTAATAGGAAATACATAGAGTTACTTGGTAGCTTGTGTTAAATATATTTTTCTCATATTTCTTGTCCGTTGCCAGAGCTCATTTAGAGGGGGAGATGTACAGTATAAGGATATATTTTGGCCATGGGGGTCTCCTACTTCTTTTAATGCTGACCAAATGTCCTGTGCCTCTCTTTACAGCTTCCAGCTACAGTTTTATTCTGAGCATTAGTGAAGAGGAAGCCAGGGTGAAGGCTCTGGACGAGTACCTGAGCACTCGTAGTTATATCCAGGGGTTCACATTTTCACATGCAGATGTGGAGGTGTTCAGAAAGTTTTCGGGGCCACCTGGGGACCAGTATATCCATGTTGTCCGGTGGTACAGACACATAGAAGCAATCTATGATGGCAGCAGTGAAAAAAATGAGCCTTGTAAACTTCAAACAAGTGAGTAATGCGGAACTGGTGGGCAGGTTATAGACTAGCTGACGTTGTATTGGGTTTTATTGCTGACAATTCCTAGAAGTTCCCTTTCATACTCTCCTGCAGGCTTTAAAATTTACCATATCAACTTCTATTCGAGGTCATGAAATTATTTGTGCATACAGTTAGTGTCACTGATAGATCCTGACCTGTTTGAATGTTAAAGTTCTGTTTCTACATTTCCTTCATTTTAAATTCCTCAGTGTACAGAATTTGATTATGTGCATGTTCTTATAAAAACTAGCCCCTGGATTGCCAAAGAATATGGGGTTTGGACTTGTTCCCTAAAATGTCAGGATTTGTTCAGTCCACTCCACTTTTTCTCCCTGCAAGAGCAACTGAATAGTTGTATAATACACAAAGTCATAATACAGGAAACTGAACACTGCCTCTTATGATTGTTATTGCCACCAAATGTCAAAAAGAATGTTTGGGGTTCCTTTTTAACCCTGGTAATTGAGGCATTGCTAATGGTTTGAGTAAATACTAACTGGTTAATCTAGGTCATTGTGTAAGCATGGGTGCTGGCATTTTTGGGAGCTGCATCACTCTTCTGAGTTGTTTTCCAATGAGCTTGTCTGATTCAATTGCTTTCTAGCGAGATCCTTGCTCAGGGAGCCATCAGATGATTAATAACACAGAGATGTTGTATGGTGCTTGCAGTACCTACAGACAAATCCATAATGTTTGTCATTTTTGCTGCTGTTTGTTGACTAATATTACTCCAGTGCCATCTCCTCACAGCCTGTCACTGTGTGTGTTCTCAGCAGTTAAAGCTGGACTGCTGAGAGTGGGTCCTGTGTGTGTGTGTGGATCCTGTGTGTGCCTGCACGTGGCTGTGCTGGCTGCTGGTTTCCTTCCAGCAGCAAAGGGATCTGCACCTCTGGCTCTGATAGCAGATTTAAGGCCACCAAGAACAATTTGTCTGCAGACTTTCATGGATCAGGGTGGAGCAATAAGATGAAAGATTTCTGTTTTCCTGTCCATGAAATCTTTAACGTTGTCTCCCTTCCTGTCTTCTTGTCTTCATGATCTGTGCATATGAGTATCAGAAGTCCTGAAATGGTGTCCTGCAGGGTTCACTGTGAAAATAACATGTGAATCTGCCACGCTTCTTAGACCTTGCATATTTTATCAGTGCTTTTTTAGGGTGTATCAAGGAGCTCCAGGAGTGGATTAGAGCAAATAAACTTCAGCCAGGGGGAAGACTGTAGCGGGCAGGGGTGGGTTTGAACAGACTGAACAGCGTGCCTTTCACTGCCCTTGGTGGAGTGGATAGAACCTGGCACCTAGCTCACAAGCTGAGAACTTCAGGGTGCAGTATCTGGGTTTTTTCTGATGTTTAGTGTGGTTTAAGTAAAGAAAGCTGGACAGGTTTATCTTTTATTAGACTAACCCACAACGGCTTCATTCCCCCAGGGAAGCGTTAGCCACAGTTCAGCATGCCAGCCTAATCTTTGTGAGTCAAAGAGTAAACAAATCCATACCTGAGTGTATGGGCTGTGTTGTGGGTAGTCTGCTCTTGAACTTGAGGTGTTCTGTTCAGGAGTACCTCATACAACAGAGTGTTTAGAACAAGCACTTACTTTCATGGCTCCACAACATGGAGATTAAATGGAGTCCATTTGTAAGATAGGTACTTCAGTTAATACCTTTTTTTTTTTCTTATTTAGGCTGTTACTGAAAAAAGAAAGGTGAAGAATAGATTGATGTTTTTTTTTAATACCATGAATGTTTCCATTGCTTGAAGGTTTTCAGCCAAAATACTCTTATGAGGCTACCAGGGGAAATAGAGTTAGTGAAGAGCACCTCGAGACGTGGGATCAGAAAGGCAATTTTGTTGTTCAAACAAATAGGTTGTATAATAATTTAATTGCCATTCAAATACATTCCATGAGAATTCCTAAAGACGGTGCTGTGCAACCTTGCTGTATTTTTGAATTTCCTGCTTTGCTTTCATTCCTGGTTAATGTGGTAATGAGTTTAACATCATTAGAGCTGTAAGCAGCCCCGTGCATAGCAAACTGCAGCTCTTCAACACATGACAGACTCAGACTTCTGCTTGGAAAACCCATGAGTTTAACAACTATCTTGCTTTTTTAAAAATGTGAAAGAAAATAAATGCAAGAATATTGTATCTGATATTACCCTGGGCTTTATTGACTCTTTCTTGGCAAAATTTGGCCTCTTGATGAACTGGAGCATATTTATGGTAGACGTGTGTGCTCAAAAATGCCTTGTGTACATAGCAACAATGTAGGATAAAAAGCTGAGGTTCTTTCTAAACTTTTCCATCTCCCCTCCCTCCCACCCTGAGTACACATACTCTGTCAATATTTGCTCTACAGACTAATTCTGGACTCCTGAGATTTTTTGCAGATTCTATATGAGATCTGTGATGTGCCGTCCCAGTAAACACAGTGGAGCTGCAGAAAGCCCAGGACTGCTGTAGCACTCTATTAATTCATTAAATTTCAAAGCTCTTGTTAATGCTTTAATTGCATTGCATGCTCTCACTTTGATACCCTCTTCCTTCCTGTTACTTGGATCAGAAGTTAACAGGAATGGCAAATCAGAGAGTAGAAAATAAACCAGATTGAACTAATTTACTTTGGTTTTAGTGGCTTTCTGGGAAGCTCTAAAAAAAAGTAGTTGGATTATTAGGATTGGAGCTGCTTTGTCTAATTATAAATGGGGGTTTTGTTTAGTTTTGGAATAAAGTTGTGATAAGGAGAAAATGTTATATGGCAAATCTGTTTGTGGAAAATGTCTTTTCAATTCTCTCTAAACTTTTCCTTTCCCTTAGGTAAAGGGAAGCGTGTGCAGCCTCCCTGGTCTCCTCCTGAAGGCACAAAACATTCTAGGCTCTGCCTCTACAACAGCCTGACTCGAAATAAGGTGACTAAATGAAATTATTTGTGTTTCCAGAGAAACACAGAGTCATCATCAAATACTTGTTTCCCCCTTCAGTAGAAAGATTTCTGGGCTGTATTTTGGGAATGTTCACAAGCACGTGCCAGAGATGCTGTGTCAGTCAAGTGTTTGCTGGGCAAGTGTTATAATACACCCAATGAATACACATATGCTACAAGTGTGTGTATATTGCATAATTTATAGTTCCCAATGGCAAGTTATCATCATGCAAAATAGCCAGGGATTCAACAGAGCTATAGGCAATGTGAGCAGAATAAAATCACTGTGTCTTCACACAGACAACATCTAAGGAAAGAAAAGTCTTGCTCATTGTATTCTTGTAGTATAAACTGGTAAAACATCTTGTGGTCTGGTTTGAAGGTCCTTTGGGAAAGAGGAGATATTAAAAATAAGAGTATTATATGGGATGTAGTGTCCAAGTATGTGTGAAATGATTATACTCTGTAACAAAAGAAAGCCTGATCCTGCCTTTTACAAACAGAGTTTAAATAATGCCCTGCCTAGTCCAAATGTTTGTAATCTGATGTCTTGATTGATAGGAGTGCAGGTAAAATAAACAGCCACACCTCATTCTGTCTCTTCCATGATAAAGCTACTGGTGATCTTGTTTTATAGAAAACTGGGAGTGGAATAACTATTACTTTATTTTAAATATAATCCACATTTTCATGTTTTAATCTCTAAATGTGGTATTACTGGTCTGATTGAGATTGTGTCTGCAATTTCTTCTGATCACTGTGCCTTCCTTTTCAATTAAGGAAATATTTCAACCTCAGAATGGAAAAAAGGTCCTGTGGTATTGCTGTGGTCCAACAGTTTATGATGCTTCTCACATGGGACATGCCAGGTACTGCAGTTCCTTAGTCTGATATGGGTTATAATGGTGCCTACTGGAAAAAGATTAATAGGAAAAGGTACTTTATTTAGATGAGTGTATTATAGTCTCTGTAGGTCAATGCTTGAGATTTAAGATGAAAAGCATGTTATAATATTATGCCATGTGATTAAAAACTTACTAGTAGATGAGGGAAAACTAAAACTGCTGTAAAATTACTGATTCTGAGATGAAAGTAGTTCATGCATAGAGTAGAAATAGCTAGAGGAGTTCACTAAAATCACCCCTCTGTCTTTTATGGTTTTAGGTCATACATCTCATTTGATATCCTGAGAAGAATCCTGAGGGATTATTTTAAATACGACGTTTTCTATTGTATGAATATTACAGATATTGATGATAAGGTAAGGCCTTTTTAAATTGCTTTCTAAAATACTGTGCTTTGAGCATGGAAGTCAGAGTCAGACATAACTGCCATTTGATAAGCCAAGTTAAACCTTACACTTATTAATTGAGATATATATTTTGTATGGAGTCATTGATTTTTCTCAGTTTTCTAGCAAAGCCTACATTGTATATAAGTGAAAGCTATGAGAAATAATGAAGACATTGTGTTTCAAAAATAACTTATTTTATTTGCCTGTCGTTGAGATACCTAATTAACTCTGTTGTAGCTGATTAACTACGTATGATGCCTTTACTTTGTATTCCTGCACATCATACTTGTAGCTTGCCAGATTCATAGAGATTCTGAAAAGCCTTTGATGTGTAATAGATTTGACTTTCACTTTGTATAACTGTGGGTCACTTAAAAATATTTTAATATTTCTGCCTTGTAGATCATCAAGAGGGCAAGACAAAATTACCTTTTTGAAAGGTATAGAGAGAACAAATCAGCACCAGATCAGCTACTTGAAGATGTCAAAACTGCCTCAGAGGTGAGCATGGTATTTAATCCCTGCTAGCAGATGAGGTGGCAAAGCATCTAAAAAATTGACTTTGCTGTCTCCTTAAACTTCCTGCTTGTTTCAGTTACTCTGTTGGACTGGTGCCACACAAGTTAGAGATGTTACTGGAACTGCACAGAACTGTTTTTTTTTTCCCCATGGTTTTAGAATTGACAAGACCTGTCTGTGTGAAAGATGTGCCTGACTTTTATGTCCAGAGAACTTGTTTGTGACTGCGTGTGTATTGTTGTTGGGGCACTGAGGGAAAAGGTCAAAAAGCATTTGGATATCTGTGTGTTAGAATTCAAACTTGAAAAATAACCTTTAAAAATAGTTTTAAAATGGTGGTATGTCCATAATCTTTTAAAGCCTGTGAATTCTTCTTTTGTACCATTGATGGCCTTGGAAAGAGCAAAAGTCTCCAAAGCTTTAGGGATTTTTTTTTTTTATTTGTAGCTCTTTTCAGTTAAATTAAATGAGACAACAGACCCAGATAAAAAGCAAATGTTGGAAAGAATTCAAAATGCAGTGAAGTCTGCTTTTGACCCTCTACAAGAAGCTGTGCAAGCAAAACTCCCTGCAGAAGAGATCAACAGATGTCATGAGGTCAGTTTGAGCTTCTTTCAAAATTGTCTTTTGCTTATAATTGTTAGGGGCTTTGAAAAGAATATTTAGCTTGTAGTGGTTCCCTGAAGCATTATGGAAATTTTTATTCATAAAAAGAGGATTGGTGGGTCTGAGGACTTTGTGTTCAATACAGGAAGTTTGATCCTTGAACCTAACTATGTAGTTTTTGGATGCTGTTTTTATCAGTTGTTTTTTTTTTTTCCCCTTCCACTGTAATAATTACTCAAGTTGTTTTTACCTTCCCAATGGGGATTTTTCTCTTGCATATATTTAGTTTCTCTTTGACGTTTTTGTCTTGATTAATTAGTTTCCATGTAGATTAATTGGTAACATTACCATAATAGTGGCAGGTTTCTACACAAGCAATTGTCTCTGATCAGAGGATATGTCCAAAAAAATTATGCTCAGGAAAATCTTTGTCCAAAGACTGTTAAATTTAGTCACAATAATCCTGCTGACTTTATTGAGCTTTGGTACTGTCCCAGTAACCAAGTCAATACAACTACTGTCTTTTAGTAATTGCTTTCCACTTCCATCTTTTCTTGCTTTCTGATCATTTGTGATAATTGTTGTAGGAAGCAATAAGGGGTGTGCTCTCTTCTTGAGAAGACATTCTCTCTGTAAATGGTCTTTTAAAAAAGGTCCAGCTATTCTAATATCAAGTGCCTATAAAAGTGTGTGCTGACCTCACAGAACTGAGCAACACTAAAATCTAAGCACACACTTTCTGGGCTGTATGTAAGTTCAGAGGAAGATCTTTCTGCAGAGTTTAAACAGGGCATGTCTTTGATCAGTCACTCTTACAATTACTGTTTTCCAGATGCTGCTGGAAGAAGCCAAAGATTTGCTGTCTGACTGGTTGGACACAAAATTTGGCAGTCAGGTGACTGACAATTCCATATTCTCCAAGCTCCCCAAATTCTGGGAAGGGGAATTTCATAAAGATATGGAAGCACTCAATGTAAGTGTGACCTTCTGCTGTTCTACAAGTGTATGTGCCATGCCTTCTAATACCCAGAATACAATTTAGCTCCTTAATAGCTTTTAAAAACCTCATATTTCAACCTTATGGATAAAGTATTACCTTTGAAGTGAATAGGTAGCTGCTAAATTAGCACCTGCTCTGTTTCTATCCCAACAATCTTAAATGCAATGTGCCTGTTACCAGAGGCAGTTAACTGGTGATCAGTTATACATAAATTAATGTTGATTTTTTTAATATATATTATATCAACAATTCTACTTTTGATTTACAGGTTTTACCTCCAGATGTTTTAACACGGGTTAGTGAATATGTGCCAGAAATTGTGGATTTTGTGAAAAAGATTGTGGATAATGGTTATGGGTAAGCTTGCTACTGGATGCTTTTGTTGTGTGCTTATATTGCATCAGAGCTAGAATGATGGCTTGCAACATTAACTGTGAACTGTTTTCTCTGTTTTCATGTGCAATAGTATTTTTTTCCAGAAGTAGTGTTTCATCAAATAAAGAAACTTCAGGTTCTTTTCCAAAAGACCTATTACTTCTTACCTGATAAAAATATACTGTCCTATACTTCTCCTGGTGTCTTACAAAGAGAGAAGTTAGATTATTAAATTTAAAAGGTGAAATGCATGTTCATTAAATTGTCCAAGTCCCATTCACTTCAACCAGGTTTGATTCCTGGCCTTCAGCAAGGAGTTTCAAAAATGAATGTCTGAGTAGATGGATAGATATCAGTTGTAAATAACATAAATTTTAATTAAAAGTAATGGGGAACTGTTTTTCTGCCATTGTCTAGTATCTGTGAAAAATCCAGCTAATATTCTAGAAGTTCCTATGTATCAGGATAAGATTCCTGTCTGAAATTTGAGTCCTTTTTCTAGTAATCTCCTCAGTTTTTTGACATGTATGTATTTTTATTGTGAAAAAAGCAAAGCTGTGGTTCAGATTTCCATAACTTCTTTTACATGTTCTTCCTTTAAACTTAAAGATTTCTTTAAAAATAATAAAAAAAAAAAAAAGTGGGGACATTTTTGGGAGGTAAAATTCAGTTCAGTCTTGGTAGGATTTAGCTAAATAATGGTCTTTAACTTTTCAGGTATGTGTCCAATGGATCTGTGTACTTTGATACCATGAAGTTTGATTCCAGTGAAAAACACTCCTATGCTAAGTTGGTTCCTGAAGCTGTAGGGGATCAAAAAGCTCTTCAAGAAGGAGAAGGTAAAAAGGGGAAATATTATTTGCTGAAGTTGCTGAAGAATCTGCTGGTGTGTTGATCTCTTCAATTGATGTCACTGACATTTGGATGAAAATTGCTGTCAGAGTTGAATGGTTTGTCTGCTGCACTTCCTGTACCAATTTTTACAAAGTTTTGCAGCTTGAGCCAGCCCTTCCCTGAAGGATTTTAATTGAAAAAATACCAAGAATTGTTTTTCATGCTAGGATTTTTTTTTTTTCTATTTGTTTGGGTTTTTTTTTTGGTCAGAGTTGTGAATAGCTCAGTCATTTGACTATGACCCAGTTACTTGGATGTTCATCTGGTTCAGAGCACGAGCAAAGACTTGGAGCTGGGTCTTGTGCATGCCAGGTGAAAGCTCTCCACATCAGACTCTGGTTATTTAATGACAAATATGTGGGTTCCTCTTTCATGCTGAGATCTCTTTTTATTTTGTAAGCCTTTTTTATATGTTGAACTAAACCAAAATACAGATTTTTTGAGCTGAGCTGTACCAGAGGAGTGGCTGAAAATGCTTAATAAACCAGACTTAGTTGTCTGCTCCTAAGGTTGTACAGCTTTAGTAGCAAATCATCCACAAAGTCTGTCAAAAGAATATCAAAAGTTTTACATGTAACACTCATGCTAGGTGAAATCAGAGCACTCATATAGGTGAAACTAGCAATATCTGAGAGATTCAGCTTAAAATGGATCTGATTTTCTTCTTCTTAATTTAAACCCCTATAGCTGAAATCTTCCATGTGAAATAAAAGGTGCTACCTTAAAGTACCACCTTTGTGGTACCATGAATGTCTCATTTTCCTCACACAACCATCACTTCTGTTGAGTTGTCATGTACTTTTGCAAGCAGGAACTGATGCTGAGTGAATGTGTCAAGTCATTGCTTGCCAGCTTTGCTGCTTTGGCTCGTGGGTGATGATTGACCTTGCTCTGACAGATAATGTCATTTGGGCTATTGCAGGCAGCAGAAATGCTAAGCTTTGAAAGTTGCAATTAATGTAAATAAAAACCTAATACTTTTCTATTTAAAGTGCATAAAGTTAGGCAGTCTAAACATTTGGGAGTGAAGGTATCTCAATCTGTACATCGACATGAATTGACAGGTTTAACCTTGACAGTTCTGTCTTTCATCTGTCTTGGATTCTTAGGTGGTAGGTGGCATTGTTAACTGCTTTTAGTCTTGGAAAGCACTGCAGAAATGGTAAATTCCCTGCATTTTAAAGATGTTTTTGTGAGAGTGTCACCCAAGTGAACATAAGGAGCTGCCTAGCACATCTGTGATGGTAACAAAACAGTAAATACAGCTATGGAACAGCTACTGGCAGTTCTGTGCAGCAGCTGAGGTTAGGGGTGGGAGAAAAATCCTACAATCACATTGTATGTGCAGAGTAAGACAATCCTAGTGTTAATTTGGATCCTTCTAACTTTGGAGTGAATTGGTTCTGCATGCTTACTTGTCTAGCAGTATAGGAGTTTTTGTGTCTGTCTTTTCTTTTTCTGGAACTGCAGTATTGGGATTGTGCCTGCAGAGAGAATGTAGATGAATCATATCAAAACTTACACAGCAGTGCAGTTGATACTTGTTAGATTTCCTGTCAACCAAACATTAATCAAAAACCCCAAAGGATTATTATCAAGGTTAATGATGAGGAATTTTGAGGGCTGTTTTTTTCCTTTTTTTTTTTTTTTTTTAACTTTGCCTGAGGTGAGGTACAGCAAGGCCAACACTCAACAGTCCTGGTGCATAAAGAAGAAGTCTCTATTGACATTTTCTCTTTTGAAAGGTGACCTGAGCATCTCAGCTGATCGTTTAAGTGAGAAGCGTTCTCCAAATGATTTTGCTTTGTGGAAATCCTCCAAGCCAGGAGAGCCCTCGTGGGACTCTCCATGGGGCAAGGTAAGGACATGATAAGCAGGATTTAGATCTTCTACACTTTATTAAATAGCATGTTACACAGATACTTTGCCTCACCTCATATTAATAATGTATAGATTACAGATCTTGTATTCAGTCGTAGATTCTGTTGCTATGTTCATTTAATAATTTAGAATGAGTATCAATCTGTCTGGTGCTTTTCAAACAGAAATCTGTATGCAGGCTCAGCATGGCTGTTCCTGGTCATTTGTCCTCTGTTTTACAGGCTTTATCTGCAGCAAGTTAGATATCTTTCTTTTTCCTTGTGATCAAAAATATGACTGTAATTTTTAAAAGAATAATAAGCAGGATAATCAGAGATGTATATCCCATGTTTATTCTTTAAAGCCACAGTATACTTTTATGAAGCTGAGACTCCTCTTTTCTGTTTTCCTTGGTAGCACTACTCACTTCCTCAGGTGTATAGCTGCATAAGGGCAGACTGAAGAGGGAATGATACCTAGGCAGGAGAGGAAGGCATTTAACCAGTAGCCAAGTCATGTCTTGTTCTTCACAGGGTCGCCCAGGCTGGCACATTGAGTGCTCTGCCATGGCTGGGTCCCTCCTGGGAGAGTCAATGGACATTCATGGAGGGGGGTTTGACCTTCGCTTTCCCCACCACGACAATGAACTGGCACAGTCTGAGGTGAGTGAACTGGCCTTCAGCTTTTGCAGAGGAAAAGCTACATGCTTGCCATGGGCTGCAGCTTGCACAATTCCATCAGTTAAAAATGAAAACTTTGTGTTTTGTATAAGCATAACTTTTTGTTCTCAGGATTTTGTTCTTAAATTGTCGTGCTTTATGGTATGTGTATAAACAAGCATTGGGTCTTGGTTTATTTTTGTTTTTTTGCTGCAGGCATACTTTGAAAACGATCACTGGGTTCGGTATTTTCTGCACACTGGCCACTTAACAATTGCTGGCTGTAAAATGTCCAAATCTTTGAAGAATTTTATTACCATAAAAGATGCACTGAAGAAACATACAGGTAAAAATTACTCTGGAATTTGAATGCTTTTGATGTACATGGAGTGATGACTGTGGTGATTTTGTTATTCAGGCACAAAGTGGAGTTTCAAAAAATGGCCAACTTCAGGTCTCTTT